GTGTGTGTGTGTGTGTGTGTGTGTGTGTGTGTGTGTGTGTGTGTGTGGTGTACACTGTGTTTCAGGAACCTCAAATATGGGCTGTATTTTTTTTCCTATGAATCTAGTACATATTTTTAGACTGTGTGGGCATTGTACTTGGCTGTAGCGACTTTGTCCCTCACAGGGACAGAAACTAAACCTGACTATGTTTTGACAAACTTTGTAGAACCCAACATTTTAATTTCATGCAATTTGTAGTTCAGGCAATTCAGTTCTTTTAATTTCATGGCCATTTGGAAATGCATCATTTAGAAACCATACATGAGTTTCTGGCTGTTCAAAAATTGGGAACAAAGTGAATCTGATTGGCCAGAAGGATTTGCTAGCTCCTGGGATGGAAGGTTAGTGGTGAGAGGGTTCAAGAGGTTGAAGAAAAAGGATGTCTGGTCTGGGAGCTCAAGATGCCTGAGAATTAATTGATCCCCTTGGTCTCCCAGAGGCATCTGGTTGTCAGTACTGGGGGAGGCCTCCACTGTGCTCAGGGGACACCCCCATTCCTGAAGCATACCTGGGGACAGCACGCATTAAATAATTCTGACATTGTCTGAGCATGCCAAGCAGTCCCCGAGCCTCTTCTCCTGTCCCTCTTATGAGGAAGAAGACAACCCCAAACCTCACCTTGGATCTCACTGTAAACTTGGCAAGACCTCAACAGCCTAGGCAGGAGGGAAAGGGGCTCTTTGTTCAGGGCTGACGACTAGTGGGTAGGATGAATAAGTGTACTGGTGGGCTTTCAGGAGGTGCTGTGCCAAGGTTGGAGCGGTCTCTCTCCTCCCAGCTTGCCTCAGAGTCTGAGTAGTACATGGCTCCCTCCCTCTTCTCCCTGGCAGATGGGCATGTGGTGTACTGGCTGAGAGTACTGGCAACCACTGTGCACCTTGGAATCTCCTCACTGGGAACCTATGGCTCGGGTAGCAAGCTCACCCTTCCCTCTGCTTCTCTCCTGCCCCGCTGTCCTCCCAGGACCTTTCCTTCCTGCCACATCTTCCAGGGATACTTTGCTGTCATATTGCCCCATACCTTAGAATTCTGCCCACTTTCCATCAACTTGGTCCTGATCCTGAAAGGCCATGTGGTAACTCTGCTCAGTGGCTGTGAAAACCTCTTCATTTTGGTAGGGGTGTAGCAATCTCTCCCCATTCAGTGCCACCCCCTTTCCTGGAACAGTCCTTCAGTGTTCCTAACTGCTAGACTGGCTCCAGCCTCCTCTACTGCTCTAGAGATGGCTCTGATGTCCGGTGCATAGCAGGTGTAGAACCAAGGCCTGTATGCAGAGAGCAGGGATGGGACTTCGCTGTCCTCATTCCTCTGTTGGCGCTTCATAGGGCAGAGGAGTTCAGGGTAGGGAAGGATGAAGAGAGACACCTGGCTTGAACTGAGGGTCTGGACCAGCTGTGGGAAAGGTTGTAAGTGGCCTGCAGCAGAAACCATGCCCCTGCGGAGAGTGGCAGGTGGCCTCTCCTGGGTTTGGTGCAGTGAGGACAGCTGAAGGGTCTGCAGATCCCCCCTTCTTCTGACGAGGAATGTCTCGAGGCCCATGAGTCACCGATTCTCCACTGTGCTATCTGGTGATGTGGCTGCAGCTGTCAGTTCCTGCTCAGCTCAGCTTCAGGACTGCTGGGGCCTAGGAAGGGCAGGCCTTCTCTGGCTGGATGGGTGGGAATGTCCTGGGGTCTCCTAGATCCTCTGCAGTCCAGTCCAGGTCCCATTCCTACCAGACATATTTCTAGGCCCCACACCATGTAACCCTGGGAAGCACCTTCCCACTCTGGCCTTAATTCCCCCACGATGAGGTGGCTTTTCAAGTTGATCTCAAGCAGGACTGTTCAGAGCTGCTCTTCCTAAAGAGGAGGGGCTGGTACAGGTAGGCCTGCATGTGCACAGGCATACAGCAGGCAGTAGCAGAGGATGTGCACACCTCTGACGGTGTGAGAGGTCACATGATGTGCAGCAGGCCCTTTAAGAGTGAGAGCGGCAGAAGTCAAGGGACACATATTTTGGAGCTAAGTTCTGGCTCTATGGGGGTACTTCCTGTATGACCTTGGTGAAGTTGCATAGACTCTCTGTGCTGTATCATCATGCCTATAGAATGAGCACAGTGCCAGGAGCTGCTTCCTAAGTGTCAGTCAGTCTACAGGGTATTCAACTTGGAAGAGCACCCAGCACATACTGAGTTCTTAGTAAGTACTCGCTGTTAGGAGATAAAGTGCAGCCGGCCTACCATTCCCAGTGGATGTGATGCAGCGTGGAGGTGACAGCACAATGGTGTGAGAATCATGAGCACAGAGAGGGACACACCTCACAGACGCCGGGCTGTGGTACATCCTCGAAGTGCTGCCTCTGGGACAGGCATGGATGTCATTCCAACTTTTCAAACATGTAGAGGCTGAGCAGGGAGCTTACGTACCATGCCTGAGGTCAAGGCTAAAACCTGCAGGGGAAACTTCCCACTTCAGTTCCACTAAGAGCTTAGAGCCAGAGCTTCCCTGTTCTCAGAGCCACCTGCCTAGCATTGTTTGAACAGAGAGAGGGGCATGCAGCGTAGTCAAGTGAAAGGGTGTGATGTCCCTCCTCGTGGCTGGGTGTCTGTCAGATCTATGGTGGCCTGACTCAGTTCATGACAGGGACACCTGCATCTCCGAGGAGTTTTGAGGCAGAGGTCGCCTGGATAGGAGCATCAGGCTTGCATGGCAGATCCAGGGGATACGTCTTGGAAGGCATCCCATGAGGACTGTGCCTGTGCCCCACAGAGCACTGTGGAGAGCAAGCACCAGGTGCTGCTGGGAAATGATGAGGACAGGATAGAAGTGCCGGGAAGAGCAGAGAGCGGGGTTATGCGGGGTCCTCGGAGTCAAGAAGTGAAGCCAGGGCTTGCGCCCTCTGTGGGAGGGCCCTGGCTCTTGCTCAGTGTTTGCCACACCTGAAATCCTCGCCTGTGTGAATTCACAGCTCCTGTGTCAGCACCAGGTGTATCTCCGTGCATTGTGATCTGTCTAGGAGACTGTACATAGAAGTGAGGGTCCCTGTCCATATCTGCAGGTGGGTGATGTGTCTGTGAACTATTATTTCTCACAGGAGCATTTTCTGGATGTGGTTCTGGGTCTCCATGAAGGGGTATATTAGGGGAGGTGCCACCGCAGATGAGCATATTGATGAATTCAGGTGTCCCTTTATCTCTAGGGTAAAGGTGGTTTAGTGTTTGTGTACATGGCATGTTTTTATACTCATTTTCTTCCAAGAGAGGAGTGTGGAGAGAAGGAGGGAAAGGACAGAATACCACCCCCACCCAGACTTCCTGCCACCATGTTTCCTCTACCAGAGGAAACCTTCGGGGCGCAGCAGTTTGTCCCTCTGTATGTTCCAAGGTTCTCACAAAGGTTACAGCAAAACCACTTTAATCCCAAATCCACATGATGCCATCTGGATGGCCAGACTGGCAGGGGGCCTCAGGCTGCCCTAGGTTGACAGAGTCTGGGAAGAAGGAAGTAGAAAGTATGTTTGGGGACAGTCTGGTCTTGAAGGGTTTCCCTGGGGGCCACACTCTTTTTTTGAGCCTTCAGCTTGAGATCACTCATGGTGCAAGAGAGTGAGCCCTGAGCTTAGAGCACAGCCTGCTCTTTCTTGTTTTTCTGTCCTAGGCTAGCTGGCTTCTCACTCCTGCTGAGGTCCCCAGAAGTAGATACTCCCCAATCCTAACTAAGCCTGAGGTCATTTCTGCAGACATGATCTGGGATCTCAGACTGGAAGAGGTGGTGGCACCCTTTGGAGAAACCACCAGTGCTATAGCCAAGGCTGCCTGTCCCCAATGGATGAATGGGACCCTGGTGGAGATGTAGGCATTAAAGCCTGACTTCTGCCAGCAGTTTCTAGGCTCCTCCCAGCACCCCCAGCCTTACCTGTCCCCTCCCCTGGTACTTATCAGCTATCCCAGGTCTCCTCAGCATCTCTGAGTGAGCTGTAGATTTGAGAGGGGGTGTTCTCCTCTCATTATCTTCCTGTCCCTGGTTTTCTTCCTCATTTTAGGTATTTGTTTATTATCTGATTGAGATAAAAAAGAGGGTGTTGAGGGTGGGGGCACAGAGGCCTGGGGAACAGAAGCTGGACACACAGGACTTGTGGGCACAGGGCAGCAGGCTTGCTTCAGCTCCTCACAGCCTCCAGAGTGAAACACTGTTGTGCTAGCTGTGTTCTGATCGGTCTACTTAATAATCCTTCCCACAGCAATGTGGTAATAACCACCATCACTCTGAAGGGTGACAGCACTCTGCTTAGCAGGGCCAGCGTGCTGCTGCTGCGGTGAGTAGCCTCACATGTGCTGCTTTTTGTCCGAGGGCAAGCCTTTCCCAGTGCAGAGCTCCTGAATCATAAGGCATCTGTGTCAATGGTCAATTTTAGAAGCAAAGCAGGCCAGGGCTGAGTGTGATCTTGAGCTTGGTTTCCCCAGTATCCTCAATTATCTGTACCTTTTCTTGTCTCTTCTCGGGCACCCCGTCCTCATACCCCTGTCCTTGAGGTCCAGCAGCACTAAGATGGGAGCCCAGCCTTTAGTAGTTAGCAGGTGTCAAGGTGTGTGTGTGGGGAGGGGGGGGAGAGGGCGGTGGGTGAGACAGGGTGAAAGGAGAATGTACTTGTCCCAACTATGCAGTGGGGGCAAAGAGACCCTTTCAGCGTGAGCAGATGGCATGGAAGCTTGTTTTTCCATACCAGAGCCGTATGGAGTTAGCTAGGTCACCCAGGCTGGAGAGGTGTCTTCCCACCACAGACTGCTCAGTGACCCTGGCTTCTATTCCTGTGTCATTCTCCAGCCCCGGGGATTTTATTCTGTCTGCCGTGGAAGAGGTGGGCCCTGCGCTTAGAAGGGAAAGTGAAGGGGCTGGGAGCATGTGTGCCCTGCACAAGAGGCTCACGCTTGTGCCTGAGAACAAAGGAGCCTGGTAAATGTCATTGCTAGGTGGGCATGCGTATGCCAGCCAAAACGCAGTTACTGTGTGGAAGCAGAGAATGCCGAGACGTGGAGACAGCTGGCCTGTGCAGAGGAATAAGCTGCTCTAGAGTGTTCCAGTAGCCTGGAGGCTGAGCTGGCATGAATCCACATATGATGCCCTACTGTGGGCCAGTGCTCATGTTGGTGGGATGGAAGAGTCAAAGAGAAGGGGTCCAGGCCCCAAAAGGTAACCAGGGCCAGAAGCCTGGACTGGGAACCCACTGCAGGTGACACGGTGCACTGTCTTTCCTTCCCTTCAGCGTGTGGACAGCGGTGGCGACTGACTCTCCAAGGCTGGGAGCTACAGCCAAGATAGTGGCTGGGAAGCACCATGGCCAGAGTCCTGCAGCTCTCCCTGACTGCCCTCCTCCTGCTGCTGCCTGCGGTAAGGGGCCAGGGTCCTCTACAGCTGTTCTGAGTCTCTACTGGAGAACCAGTGATTTCTCCATACTCTCCGCAAAGCTGCCCTCAAGGCTGGCATTTCTGCCAGCGCTCTTGCCTGACCCCATCCCCGCTCCCACCCTCCACCCTCCGGCACCACCATGCTTCTGTGATGTGACTTAGATAAAGGGCTTTCCTCAAGACTGCTGCTGACCGGACTGAAAGCTGTTACAGAATTTGCAAATCTATTGAGATGGTGACATGTTGCATGCTATCTGGCTAGCCCAACTGTGTGCAGGATCCCTGAGCAGGGCCACAGAATGGTCTTCTGGTCCCCATGCCATGAGGTCCTCCTACATGTAAATTCCACATCCTGTCCTCTGTTCACATCTCTCTTGAGTAAGGGTGAAAGTCAGGAGTGAAAGGACAAGCCAGGGCAAGGCTGTCCTTAGAAGCTGGGATATCTATCCTTCTTATAACTCCCTATCTGATAGGACATGCATATCCTTCTCTCTGTGAGGGGTCTGTCTCGGAACATGGACCTTGACAGCTCAGATTCCTTGCCAAGGGAGTCATTCTGACATAGGGTTTGATGGGAATGAACTTGGGCATCAATCATGATGTAACAGTGGGGCTATGAAGACCCTGGACCTGCTGTGAGACCTGAGCTGATCCTTGTACCTGCCTTTCCTCCTCTGAAATAGAATGGAGAGGAGAACCCTACCATTACCCCTTTATCTGCTGTGGCAGGGCATTTGTTCCCATAGCTCTCAGTTTACCATCTCTCACCACCCCCAAAAGTACAGCAGGAGCCAGAACATCAGATTCAAATCCTGTTACACGGCCTACCAAGTCACGTAACTTGGAACAAGTTAAACAACATCTGCAACAGTAAATGATATAAAGAAACATAGTCCCTCCTTCCCAGTGTTTATCAGCTTCTAGCATGCTTCCACACACAGATGCCCAGCTGCTGGAGGGCAGCACATGTAGTTCTTAATGTAACTATACCATGGAGACTGAGGGTCCGGAGCCTGTGGGACCCACACCTTGAATTGAATAGCCCTCATAGCAGATGTTGATGCCCCTGCTGTTCTGAGATTTGTCACCCTCCTCCTGCTTCTGTCCCTAACACTTTCTTCCTGAGTTGAAGCAGAAGGATTGTCAGTGGCGCTCCTTGCCCTCTCACTGTCTGTCCCAATGCCCTGCAGGCTCTTGCTATGCACTCTGACTGCATCTTCAAGAAGGAGCAAGCCATGTGCCTGGAGAAGATCCAGAAGGCCAACGACCTGATGGGCCTAAATGAGTCTTCCCCAGGTGAGTGAAGTAGCAAACAGTCCTGGTATCCTTAGCACATGCAGGCTAGCTCTTCAAGGATGGTGGGAGGGTGTGAAACTCTGAAGCCTTCAGAAAGCCCTCGGCAACCAGGGTGTTTGATGTTTGCCTTGCTCAGTGACATTAGGTGGCTCTCCTTGCACCAGTCTGGGCTGGGCTGGGCCGGGTAGCTTAAAGTGGTCACTGTTTTCTCCTGGGTCTGGTCTGGAGAGCAGCTGTCAACGAGCTTGTTCATAGGCCACCTGGGACCAGTGGCAGCAGGAATACAGATGTTATGGTGGCTGGGCTATAGAGTATCTGGCCAGCTGGAGGCAAGGGTGTGTGGGGTTGTTTCCTACTTGCTGGGTCTAGCAGAAGCCGGGGAGGAAAGCAGCAGCCACCCCCAGGGTTTCGCCCAGTGTGGTGCTCACATAGGGTCTGTTGCATCATATGCTGGATGTGGCCACATATGTCTTCAGCCTGTCCCCACAAATGATTCCAAGGATTACATAAGTGCCTCCTAACAGTTCATGTCCTGACAGAGAAGCACAGCTCCTGGTAAGACCCAGGGGTCTTTTTCCAACTGCCCCTGAAGGAGCAAGGGAGGTTGAGTGGAGATGTCATGCTTTTTTTCTGCTTCTGTCCTACACAGCAGGCTGACTCTGCCTAGGGGCAAGGCTCCACTATAGTCTGAAGGGTGTACCTTTCCCTCTAGACTCTTGTAGTTCTTCTGAGAACCATCTGCTGTAAGACTTTATTAATCTGCCTCCCAGTTAACTTGCATTCCCACTGGGCCAGCTTCATACCAGCAGCTTCTTCCCAAAGACTGACCAGGGGGAGTTGTTTCCAGCATGGCTCCCAGCATTCCCATAGCAACTAGAGAAACTGAGGAAAGGGGGGGGGGGGAGATGGGACACAGTGGGAGGAAACCCAAAGACAGTGGGAAGAATCTTTGATCTAAGTGTCTTGTTTGTGTGAATGGGAAAGTGAGTCCTGAAGGTAACAGCTTTACAGTGCTTATCTACCACCTGGTAGATCCCATGCAGCCTGCCTCCTGACCTAGAGTCATTGGTCTCAAATGATAGCTCTTGGAAGGGGAAGGAAGAGAGGTGGGAGCTTACTATATGAGGCTGTGTACACTTTAATTACACTCCTCAGTGGAACACCAGTCCAAAGGCGTTGACAAGACAGGCTTGCCCATAGGTTGTCCTTGTTTGAAGGCTAAAGCTAAAGAGGACAGATATGAGTAGAGAATTAATATAAGGAAGGGCAGGTGATGGTGGAACCGGCTCCTGTGGTGGCTTTGGAGAAGAAGAGGTGAGGACAAGAAGCAGCAGGAATACCCACCCACCAGAGGACCTTTTAGGTGGATATCTACAAGCCACAGACCAGATTAAACTGGAATCTTGGCTTGACATAGTTACGTGACATTCAATAGCTCCCAGGAAGTGCTGGTGAGATGCTAGAGCTATGAAAAGGAATCCAGGGAGGGGTGGACTGCGGGTGAGCCAGGAGCAATGTGAGAACATTGCAGGCTCAGGTTGTCTGTAATCACCCCTACTTCATAGAAGAAGAAATGGGTGCAAGGAGATCCTGCACCTTGCTTAAGGACACAGTTCATTTGCAAGTGGGGCCTGCAATCTGGGACGTATGTGTCAGTCACTTGGAACGCACTGCCCTAGGACAGCACACTCTGAGCGCTATCGTGACTTCCACATCACTTTTGAAGACATGTCACTCCTTAATTTTCTTAGGTATAATGGAGGGGAGAGTAGTATCTAGCAGCTTAGTCTGCAGGAAGCAGCAAGGGCTTGAGGACTTCAGTTGCTGTATCTGTGAGGCTCTCGCATGGTGTTCCAGGCTTCCCACCTCCTGCTAGGTCAGAGTTTTTCTAGTAAGGTAGATGCCATTTGGAATTGTCTGGAAAGGCTTTCTGAAAGAGAGGAGAGAGTTGAGAACCAGTGCTCTGGCTTCGGAGATGTGAGAAGAGGAGGCCGGGTGGGAGAGCCAGCCTAGGTAGGGTTGGCCTAACCAATACAGGTGAGAATCGTGGGCTAGCACTTACAGAGCGGGCTTGCATCCTAGTGTTCACGCACTCACAGCTTGTCAACCTAAGCCAGCAGCGGTGTTTCCTTCTACCTTGACATGAGGTTGCCCATCATCTAGAAGCCCACACCAGGGTGAGAGAGCCTGGAATAGATCCTGAGACATAAGCTACCTCAATCCACTGCACTGCAGTTGAAGAGTGAAAGGTCTCCCTGCTTCCTGCTTTCTTCCTTGCTGACACACATAGACAGGAGAGAGGAGTTGTGGAGGAGAAAGCCTTGGGTCTGTGTTCAGGAGGGGCCTGCACTACTCAAAGTAGAGCCCTGCAAAGGCAACGGGTGTGTGCGTGAGTGCTGAAGTTGTGGAAGGTCTATTAAGGAAGGAAAGGGGCAGAGGAAGAAACACCTTGAGGAAGGCCATGCTTAATGACGCATCCATCAAATCCATGGCCTGATGGTCCTGTGGTACGATCTGCTGAGAACAGGCAGTTTCTGGGCATCTTGCCAGGTTTCAGGATCTAGGACAGCTAACCCCTGTTGTCAGCCTCCAAGGGAGGGGCTTCATGTTTACTGAGCCTCATATGAAACTCATGCCTGCCTTTAGGGGTGTTTTCAAATTAAACAATCTGGTTCTTCAAAGTAAACAATCTTGTGTCCCTAGAGAAGGGGCCATCTCACTGTACTATGAGGTGCCATTGCAGTCCCTAGGAACACTTTAAGGTGCCAATGAACAGTCCTTGCCTGCATGCAGCCAAGGTCAGCATCATCTGGGATCAGGCTCCAAGGAGCTCTCAGAGCCAGCCTCTAGCTGATTGTAAGGTGTGTCCAAGTTTGATCTCCCTAGAAAAGCACCTTCTACCACTGTGCCCATGTGATGTCAGGCACGAGAGAAAAAGCCATGGAGCAGGTGAATCAGGCTACGATCTCATTCTATCTGGGAATGGCACAGGATTAAGTTGTATCGTTAGCCTTGTTGGGGAAATGTAGAGAGGAATTGGTCAGCTCTACTCTCCTCCTGTCTCTCCAACTTTGTTGTCCCTGCACACTTATCTTTGTAGACACTTCCAGGAAATATTGAGGACTTCACACACTTGAAAATGAAGAAGAAGAAAGCATGATAGTTTGCTTCAGCACCTGGGACTGTCCAAATTAGTGCAGCTTTCACATTTATGTACATAGACACATGCACCTGAACGTCAAGGCCACCCTTTAAGGATGGTGTGGCTGGGCAGCCTCTGAAATCACCACACAGTGCAGGAATCTGTACTGGCCTTAGTGGTCTGGTCAGCTACTACACGTGGCCGCATTGTGCAGTCCAAAGGCTGTCAGCAGGAGGAGGATGAGAATAAGTCACATGGCACAATCCTTTACAGTAAAGTTGAAAAATTAAGCACACTATGAAGTAATGATGAAAGTATAGTTTAATAAATTCATGGGCCAAGAATTCAGTAAGTTATTCTGCACTGTATGCTGTGCTTTTTTTTTTTTTTTTTTAAACATGACTGGCAACATGAGGCAGTGTTCCCACTGGCATCACCGCAAACACACAAGTGACATTAACATGGTGATGGCATGTTGAGAACCAGGCTCTTCAGGGTCGGAAATTCCACCCCATCACCTTGGGCATATATTACAGAGGTTTCTTGGAGGGCAGAATCAGGGATGGAAGCATATTTCACTGTTTTGTTTCTCGTCCAAATCACTGGATCCTGCATGGGGCTTGAGCCAACTCTGAGCTGGTTTTGCCATATGACACATGAATCGGCTAGAGGCAGAGGTGTGGTTACTGGCAAGTCACATGGCGAGTCTCAGCCAGCTCTGGGTGGGTGCCTGGAAATCCTGACTGGGGACTTCCCTTTCTGCTTCACTGTAGCCGTGCCCTTGGAGGAGGAAGAAGATAATTAGGGGCAGCTGCTGTGCATGGGGCTGATCTACGCACAACAGGCCATGTAGCTCCATTCTTTGATCCCTCCTCCTGGATCAGGGCTTGCTTGACTAGGTTGTGCCCAGCAACACCTCGTGTTTTGCAGGGCCTTGGGCTATGAGCATGGGAACCTTCCTGTGTCCAGAAAGAGCTAGTCTGGCTAGCTCTTCAGTGAATGCCACATGCTGAAAGAGATGAGGAAAGCCTGCAGTGCTGTGGAAGGTCAGGAGATAAACCTTCATGTTGCCTTTCTGGACTTGGTCCTAGATAGAGTTCAGATGCTTCAACCAGTGACCCCCTTCCCTTCCCCATTGAACTTCCAGCTGCTCTAAGACTGACCAGGCCTAAACATGAGGAAGTGGGTATCTTTATCGACCCTTGCTCTGGAGAACATACTCTAAATAGGGTTCATAGGAACCTGACTGAAGGATTTCTCAGAGTCATATTTTTCAGAAGCTGGTCCTTTTGGAACTCTAGTGTATTAGACCCTCCTGAAGGTTTGTTAAGCACAGATTGTTGTGTGGTCCCAGGGTATCTCCTATCTAGGTCTGGGTGGAACCTGGGCATCTGCATCTGTGTGTTTCTGTATTGGGGTCACTCTTGGAGATCTGCTGCCTTCAGCTCTCTTCCTTCCCTTTAGCACTCACATCACTGGAGGGGGAGGAGTCCTCCTTTGATGAAAGAAGAAACCTTGGCTGTCAAGTGAATTTCAGGAAATTGAATTGTTTTTTCACTCTCAAATTGTGTGCTCAAACGGAGGCCTTTCTTCAAGAATACCTGAACATCCCGGGTGGATCCTGAAAGAAAGGGAGGGCTGTGGCTTTGTCTGTCACTCTGGTGTCCCTGGGCTCATGAGTTTTGAACTCTACGTGGAACTGGACAGAATCATCACCATGACAACCTCTGATTAGCTCCTCATTCTATTCCCTCAAAGACTAATGGCTCATGCATTTTCTCTCAGCTCCAGGCCTAAGTAGAGTCTGTTCCCCGCACCCCACTCCTGTCACAGGAGTCACTGCTGCACGCACTGGAGT